TCTCAGTTGATTCGATACGCAGGAGCATGCTCTACGTATGAACAATTTCTAAAACGGGGCAAATTATTGACAAACAAGTTGATGAAACAAGAATATCAACTGTCTAGTGTAAAGTCATCGTTTCGTAAATTCTATGGTCGAAACAATGACCTTGTCAGCAAATACAATTTTTCATTGAGGATGCTGAATGACGTTTTTCATACTTATTGTTGGTCCATTGTTCGTACGCTGGGTTGGCAGCGGGTTTTTCCGTTATATCCCGATCATGGCAAGGAGCACACGGCGGGCGTGGCCGGTCGACGGGGGATGCTCACTCCTCCACGTCGCCTGGTCCCGCCTCTGATGTTTTGGAAGTCTGTCTTTGCTCTGCTTTTGTTTTGTATGGTTTATGGACTCTGTCTTGAGCGCTGTTCGTTATCTCCATATCCTTCATTAAATGTATGATCTTAATTTGAAGAATACTCTCAGCAAATCGATTGTTTGTAATCTGCAAAAAATAAAGACAAATGATTTTTTTTCTTTTTTCAGTAGGTTAAAAATTCCTAAATTATTCACTTACCTGTTTAATAGATTTTCAGCAGAAAAAAAACTGTTGATACGGATAACCATAAAATGACAACAGATTTTTGTATTGCTTTGTTCAATATTTTGTAATTTTATTTGTTCCATTTACCTGATCAATACATAGGACTCACTATAGGTGTGGTCAGTTAATAGGAGATGCCTATCCTCCTAGGCAACTTATCCCACCTCTGGAATTTACAGGGCTCGGTGTTTTAAGCCTTCTTCACAGATTTCTATTGTCTATAGATATTTTTTTTCTGAGATCGTTCACTCTTTGTTATCTGATCTTTTTTAAAATCTTAATAAAACAACCACATGTATTTTCATCCAGCTCTGAATTTGAATTAAAAGAATACGATCACAATGTATTAAGTTTTCGGCATATGAACCTAAAATCAACCAATGCATATTTCGTAAAATGTGCCAATTTCTCAAGTATTTATAGCTAATCTTTTCCCCTCAAGCTGAGATCAATTTTTACTCCATGAAAACAGTCACCTAATTCAGACTCACCCTATAAAGGAAGCTGTTTTATAAAAGTACATTGTACACATTAAGTCACGGAAATATGTATTACTCTTAGTGTGAATAGAGTGTTTTCGAAGAGATACAAAGAAAGGTTGGCTTTCTTTTATTAAATAATACACACAAACTAACTTCCCTATTTACCGTCGATGACCCTTGGACTTATGTATACTATAAGAACGTGAAGCCTTTTTGCGGCGATCGTTGCAATTTGTAATTTTCGAGGTTAGTCAGAAAACTTTTTTATTTAATTAATAATTGAAACAGTGGTTTTCTATTTGAAGAGAATTTGTTCCTCTGTTTTACACTGAATCATCCAGCTCAGATTTGTTAATTTAACAATCATTTTTAAAACATAATCAAACATATTTACAGTTCTGACAGAGCTGTATACCAATTTTCTTTTCAATTCTTCACTATTTTTCAAACAAATATGCAATTTATTATGCTCAAGACTGTCACGGAAGCTCATTTGGAAGAGGGCTTGGGTTCGAGCCCCACGCCGGATCTAGGTCGTTATAAAATACCTAGTAGATAGCAACCTTTCTTTCGGCAAGCGCTCGGCACTTCGAAGTGTTAGTCGTGAATGAGACCTTGAAAACCCACGCCCCGTGCCACGGCAGACGTTGGCAGTATAAATATCCGTTACTACTCCTTTGGTTTGATTACCGATTAAAGGTATAGATGAGAAGTCTTTAACCGGTATATGATAAAGTCTCTATGAAACATACGGAGATAACGAACAGTATTCAAGATCAAAAGTCCATAAAACAATAGAAAATACAAGCAGAGCGAACATGGACCTTTAATAAACAACTGAAGTGGGATAAGGTGTCATGGAGGAGTGAACATTCCCTGCCGACCTGTTACGCCCGCCGTGTGCTCCTTGTCATGATAGGGAAATAATGCAAAAATCCGTATTCAATTCAGTGTTTAAATAATGGACAAACAATTAGTATGAAAAACGTCAGTCAGCATTTGACTCAATGATAAATTGCATTTGCTGACAAGGTCATTGTATCGACCATAGAACTTTAAAATTCATGACTTTAAACGAAACTTCTTATATTCTTGTTTCATCAACTTGTTTGTCACTAATTTGCCTCGTTTTAGAAATTGATCATACGTAGAGCATGTTCTTGAGTATCGAATCTATTGAGATATATAAACTCCGCCTGCAGTTTATGAAGGTATATTGCTGCAAAAATACGGAAAGTTGACGATAGAAAAGTTAAAGTCATCATGTTTATCATAAAACTTGGTTGTTACATTAACAATTATAACGTTTTTACCAAGTAAAATATCTAAATATGAAACTGATTTGTCAGACTCTGTGGTATCTTTTATCTCAATCTCACAAGGATATATCGCATCGACATAAAAATGGAAGTGGACCCCAAAAACCACATACGAGATATTGTCAATCAGAAACTTAAGCATCTTTTGATGTCAACTTCAGAGTATACAATCAGAAAGTTTTTTAACAAAATGAAAAATTAACTAAATTTACGAGTTCCATTTTTATTGAAAAAAGCAGCAGTTAATGATATCAAAGAGTTTCGACTTTCTTTATCATGCGGAATTGTTGTGTATAAAGTTAAAAAGTCGTAAGTTTTTAAGCTGTTGATTTAGATAAAATCTTGTGATTTAAAATTGTTTAAAATTTCCTTGGAATTTTTAAGTATCCAAATCTTATTTACACCACTTCTTGAATATATTGTTGCACAGTACTCTTGAAGTTTCTCCTCCGCAAATGTTAATATCTTAATGAGTAGTAAAGAAAGAGGAGGCTTGGTTGAACATTTATCGGAACCCTCTATGTATCTTTGTTTGTAAGGATTCTGATGATGTTTCGGAATCCAATATATATATATATATATGGTAGTTCAAATTCATTTTGGTTCTTTGGGATAATAAAAATATTCAAAACTAACACGTTTGGAAGTAATAGTCGATGTATATTTGTAGGAGATACAAGGTGTAGTAAAAACGTTCAAAAGAATGCATGTAAAATCAATTAATCAATCTCTACTTTTATTGCATTTCATTGCATTCTGAATGATTATTAGCACAATTTTCTTGGAGAGTCCGCCCAATTGACATTTAAATCTTGTAATTTTCCCCAAGTTTTTCATAATATAAAACATGGAGTGGTGTGACCCAATATCGCCGTAGTGTTGTTTTACCTGTAAGACTCTTTACGTTTTTGCAAACGCGGTTTAGAATATTTTTTATTGCTGAAGAAACACAGATGGTTTGCAGGGGGCTAAACCTCCAATATTTTTGTCAATATATCATGTGCTGTAGAGAAATACCTACTTTATGCTTGCGATTGTGATGGTTTGCATAGCTATGCAACGTGAAAACATTATCTAAACTGTTTTTTTTTTAGAATTAACTTTAATACATGTACATGTTTTTACACAATTTCTAAAAAAAGAGCAGGATCAATATTGTATCGTCAAATCATTTACTCAAATTCATGTTAATTCCTTTTGTTCCTAGTAAGTAAGGGTCCTATTTAACGTAAGACATTAATTATCTTAACTAATTATGATGCACATACACACTTGAAAGCTAACATAAGAAACAATTCAAAGAGACAATTGAATACCGGTATGAACATGAATATAATTCATTGATGTTTGCAAATATCATATAGTCGAATACCATTTCATCATTTAATTCAAATGGCTGTGAATATGTATAAAAAAATGATATTTCCATTTCTGTTTGTTTTCTCTGAGTTATCTCTTTGAAAGTTAGCCGTGTTGATTTCTTGATAATTCAGCCGAAATGTAAATATCGGCAAGCGAAAGGTCGGGGGTAAGAAGGCCTTATTTGCATGTAGATCCCGTGCGTCTTTGTGTCGGACGTCAGTCGGCGGGGACTATTGAAATTCCTTATGTAATTTAAAAGTATTAAACATCATTTTTAAATCCAAATTTACAATTTTATTTCACAAAAAAATGGAAATATAAGTAATGGTTTAGTTAGTTAGTTGGGTAACGTCAAGGGCATCAACGAAAGTTGAAAACGTGGAATCAATAATGCATAACGGGCATCGATCCGTTGTGCAAATGAACCACTGTTGATTCTGGCATACCCAAAAAACTAGATAGTGATTCCTTAGATGTATAGGATATAAGTGGAATTGAACGATGATCTTTATAACAGCGAAATCAAAACAACTGAATAATGGGTTAAGAAATCTGTGTATCGCTTGTGTCAGATCATCAGATTTTACAGAAAACGTTGATCTGCGGAACTTTGACACAACAAAGAAGAAAGTTGATATATTTTCGTCTTTCATTTCCTCTTGCGTTAAAATTAATTCAAAATTTAATTTCTTCTTCTTTCTAAATAAGAATCTTTTTCACAGAAATTATATGATTCCCTAAGAATCTTGATCGGGTCTATTTTTATCACTATGCTATCTCCATTAAATCATAACCGTCGTTTTTCATCTGAATGAATATACAGGTAATTTCTAATTTTTAATATTAGTTGATCACCTGGCAAATAATACATTTTATTGCTGAACTTATATTTGTGAATATTGACACTCGTTGGCTGTATACAAGTGCACTCGCAAACTCGTGTATTTGTACAACCAAGCCTTGAAAATATTCACTAATATAAGTTCAATAACCCTTTAGTACAGGTGTTAAGCATTAAATTGATAGAACTTATAACACTCAGACCAGTCACCCAGTTGAGTTCACAAAAATTTCAAGAAAAAGAATAATATCCAAAGAAACAATGAACAAGTCTCCTTTACGTAGAATTCAAACTTTGAAAATCAGAATATGGAGTGTATCATTACTTTTTGTCAATGAATGGACTGTCACGTTTAGGGTTGACGATGAATAAACGGTTATGACCAGACAAATAGGACTTATCTGGTCAGCGACATCCAAAACTAATACAGGTAGCGGAGGTCACCTTAAGTTTTCCAAATAATGGATCTAGTACCTGATGTTAAGGAAAATGATATGGTCGGGAAAAAAGAACTGGATGGAAATTATATGTAAGGATATCTTAGCATCAAGTTTCTATGAAATGCATGTTGCCCTTTGTTTTCAGAGCTGATTTTGCTATCATGTTTGTTTGCATTGATAGCTAGAAGTTGAACGGAGGCTGTGTAAAAATTTCTATTCCTGTGCATGTTTCTGCATATACATGTTGCATTAATATACTGCTATATTCTTCATTGCTTTTGTATATGCCCATTTATTTTTATATTTAAAGATATTTCATTTTTAAAGTACTAGTTGTGTTGTACTATTCGTATTTAGCATGCAGTGGTCGGTGATGATATGTAGATATTCATGTAATAGAAGCCACCAAAGTATTTCTAAAACAAAGCACATCACTTCTAATTGCAAGTATTTCTTATTTGTTTTCAGCTTATAAATGACAACTACCAAGACTATGAGGAAAACAACACCTAAGGCATTTTATCTTTGCTTAGTAACGTCGAAGGTCGACCATTGGTCTTTGTTTTCTCGTTACAGATATGGTCGTTGGGGACCATACCAAGCATTTCAGGCTGCCTTTGCCCTTTTCCATATATGGCAAACAGGTTTTCAGCTTCTTATAGGAGTTTTTATCGGTAAGATCATTACAATGTTTAAAACAGATGTAGGAAGCACATACAATAGGGAAGTTTGTTGTGATTAGAACTTGGGATTGTAATGAATCAAGAATACCGGCAGTCTCGTTTAAAGTCATCATTTCATCAAGTCGAGTTCTGTGCTTGATACAATGAGCCTGTCATCAAATACAATCTATGATTGAGTCATAATATGACTGACATTTTACTACTAATTGTTAGTCCATCGTTTACAAACCGAGTTGTCGACGTTTTTTCCGTAATTTTACGACAAGGAGCACACGGCGAGTGTGTCCTGTCGGCAGGGGATGCTCACTCCTCCTTGACACTTGATCCCAACTCTGCTGTTTTGGAGTTCCGTGTTTACTCTGATCCTAATTTGTAATGTTCAATTGACTTTTGAGTTTGAATACTGTTCGTTATTTCTGCATATTTCATACTAATAAATACTAGTATTACTTTCAATACAAGTTTTCCTAATTTACTGAAAGTGAATCTTTTCTGGGTTCTAGTTATGATTTATTTTTTGCAGAGGGATTTCAAAAAAATTGTTTAACATTTCATACTAAATCTCTATCTCTATTATTCAGAAATATTCCAGAAATGTAAATTTCTACGATTTACTTAATTCATTCACACATGCTGTGTAATATGTAAATTTCCTACAAAAACTAAAAGCAGCACGTTGTCGACACAAACCTTGCTAGTCAACGAAGGCTGGAGCAAAATCTGAATTTCAGACTCTGATGTAACCTTAACCCCGACTTTTTCAATGTATAAGTAATTTTGGCATGTTATTTTAATAAAAAGTGTAAAGTTTGTTATAAAAATATAATGTGATGAATATTCCAGGCTATAATAAAGTAATAATTTCTACAAAATATTAATATAACGAAAAGTTACATGTATCAAGCTAAATCGTCCATTGAACAGTGCAAATTTCGAGCTGACATACAGGGACCCCTGAAATTGGGCGAATGAGGTGCCATGGAGGAGGAGACTCCCAAGTCAACGGTCACCCCCACCGTGTGTTTCTGTTTATGATCAGGCAAACTGAAAATCCACGGACAATTCAGACCAAATATAACGACCAAACGTCTGTCTGAAAAACATCAATCTACATACGACCTAACAAAAGATTTTAGTTTGCTGACTACCACAAGAAGTACTCCTTCATGATATCTTTTTCTTAACATTTCGTAGTGTGGTTTATAGCTGACTCATGTACTATTTGCATAGTTTTATTAAACAATACTATTTTTTTCATTATGACTTTGTTTAGTTACTCTTCAAAGTTGACAAGTGTTATACATTAAAAAGTGGCAATTCTTAAAAGGTCATGACAAGAAATTTAAAATTTGTTGGAAATCGCATGCACAGTTTGGAGTATCCAGTAAAAGCATTAATCAGGAATATTCATAAAATAATGGTTAAATCAAATCTTATACAACGTAATGATTGTAACAAAATCATTATCAGAAAAAATCGCCCTCACTGTATATGTTCTAGCAAATCTTTTTGTCACCTTAATCATGAATTGTCATGTATGCCTCTGACTTGCCAGAATACCGTTCATCATTTTAGCCTACAGACCAGGGTTCCAATGTGCAGCTTCAAACTTCGACAACCAATCTCTTACAAACAGTTCTATGTACATGAAATACGAAAAATGTCACGTCCAAATATTCCACAACGACTCAGATGTCCTGGATCCAAAACTAATAGCAACAACAAAGTGTCCTAACGGTTACCGGTACACCTTAGAAAAAGACCGAACGATCGTCACAGAGGTAGAATTGTTCTCTAAATGGTTTAAAATTAATTGTATCGATTAATAATAATAATAATGCTTTATTTAGAGAAGGTTACCCGATTAGTACAAAGTACTATTCTTCCCCGGGGCCTTCTAATTTCAAACAACATATTACATAAAATGATACAATCAAAGATAAAACATGTAGAGTTCATTAATGCATGAATAATTAAATGTAATGTACAGCTAAATGATATATAGACTCAAAATAAAGAAGTCAATATTAATTGTTCAGGAGACATTGTTTTAAACAATAGTAATAATCAAACATCTTGTTCAAAGGACATATTCAAACATTTATTTACAGACGTTGGCTAATCATAATTTTTTCTACATTTCGTCTAAAAATAGGTAAAGTTGGTGACAATTTTACATGTAATGGCAGGTTATTCCATAAATTTACACCTGAATATTGAATAGAATTTGTAAATAGAATTGTTCGATATTTTGGTAAACGAAGATTATAATTTAATTCTGAAGGTAAGGAATAGGAATCATGGCTATGAAAAACAAAAAGGTCCTGGAGATATTCAGGGCTCATACCATAAAAAGTTTTTGCCGTGGAGATTGGTTGATTCCTTCCGAGAAATATTAAAAGAATTACATAGGAACTTTCTGAGCACAATGATAGGACATTTAGAGCTGCCTCATATAAATATCTATGAAAACCCCTACTTGCAGTAAAATTGCAAGATTACGCTAAAACATAAAAACAAAAACTCTTAAAATTAAACTTTTGCTCAAATTGAAAATACTCTGATAGTGTTTTTACCTCAAACATGCGTTACCAGCGCTTGCACTAGAGTTGTGGAGAAAGAAGTTGATACCTTATATTGCAGGTTTAAACCATACTGCGAGACGTGGATACTGTTCCTCAATATAAAATGGTATAAGCCGAGGACCCGTGTCGCAGTAGGTGCTGACACGAAAAAAAATCCCTTCCTGCTTAGTGGCTTTGAGTTAAGATCTTAATTTTTTCAGTCCTCCATTGACGTATAGTGTCGTATCAATATGAAGAAAACTACTCGAAAGAATGGATGTTCAACAAACAGAGAATTTTCAACAATGATAATGTTAATGAAATTTATTATGTAATTTCCCGATCATGACAAGGAGCACATGGTGGGAAGGGGATACTTACTCCTCCACGGCACCTGATCCCATCTCTGATATAACAGAGGAGTGCATTTACTCTTCTCCTGATATATATTGTTTAAATGGGCTTTTGAGCATGAATACTGTTAGTTATCTCCATATATTTCATTGATATTTGATCTTTTCTTTCTGTCTGTTTGTAAATTTCTTATTTTACCTGCTTTTACTAGTATTTTATTTTGCCAAAAAGATCTATCTATAGTATATAATTTGCGCTTCGAAAAGTCAATCAAAAGTCAATCAAATTTGAAACTGATAATTTTTCATTTGATAAACATGGAGATAGGTATTACAGTAACGATAATTTATTTCATTTCAGTTTGATCTTGTCTGCGACCGAGCAAACTTAGCGGAACTTCTGCAGACGTTAGTGATGACGGGACAGCTTGTAGGCGCAGCCTGCGCCTCGTCTCTTAGCGACAGGATTGGAAGGAAGACCGTTCATCTTGTCTCTAACCTTTTGACTTTGATATTGGGAATTTCGGTGGCTTTTGCGTCAAATTATGCAACATTAGCAATCATGAAATTTATTCTTGGCGTTTTGCAACAGGTTGTCATAATGTCTGAGTCTGCTTTAAAATTTGTTCTACATTTTTGTTATATGGATGTATATAATTTGCTTTTTCTTTCAGGGAATGGTCATGTCTGGTGTAGTCTTTACCTTAGAACTCTTTCCAGAACAGGGTCGCTTTTACAGTGAAGTAATTGGTTCCTGTGTCTGGAGCACGGGTCTCATTATAATGTCTGCCATTGCCTATCTGTTACGGAATCACTCCTGGAGATACCTTCAAATTACCCTCACCTGTTTTTCTTTTTTGAGTTTGTTTCAATATTGGTAGGTATCATAGTATATTTGATTTAGCACTAGTCTTAAAATATCAAAATCTCTGAATCGCTTTTTATTCCATCTTTTAAAAACATTTGCCTATTGACGTCGCCATCGAATTCTTGATATGGATATTTGTTCATTTTACTGTCCTCCATGGAAACGGTGATAGATTTTTAAAAAAAAAATACAAACAGTAACTATCCGTGAGCAATTATAAAACATGGACCATCGAAAAGCCCAGAGGCTTTTCCCTTCAAGTCGAGAATACAAATTGGTCTATTCCTTCAAATACAGAAAATCTGAGATTTTATTATGGTTAACGGTAGAAGTCTGGTGATTTCGATTACTAGCACTGTTGAATGCATTTGAATTTCAGCTTATATAGCTAAAATCATTAATACATATGAAAGAAAATGTCATCATGTTGTTAAGTGTCGGTTGAAAACCAAACATCTTAAATTTCATAACACAAGACAACAGTTCAATGTTATCTTTAAAATTGAACAAAGATCAAGGTCAGGTGGATTGTATGGCTGAGATTTTTCAATGTGTCTCATGACAGTGCATTTGCAAAGCAGTTAAACTTACCTTAAAGAGTCAAAGAATATTTTGTATAGGTACTACGGTGTATCATGAAAAGTATGTGAAATATCAAGTTCAAAGGTCAAGAGTTCAGAAATCCTGTTGTTTAACAAAAACTATTTTAGGTGTGACAGAAGAACATGATTCCGGAGTGTCTCTCTATTCTACAACATATTAAAGAAAAGAAATTAAAAATTATCATGAAAATCATGCAAGTTTGTCCATGTCCCTTTAATATGAACCTTACTATCAACTCCCCATGCACCCCAACAAACAAACAAATATCAAAGTGTCGTCTGTCGTTTTTTAGGATTCAAGACGAATCATTACGATGGCTTGTTGCCAACGGGAAAAAGAAAGAAGTGGAAAGGATAGTACGAAAGGTAGCCAAATGGAACAAGCTAGATTATGAGGATCTCAAGAAGCATGTGAAAAAGAAAATGGCATTAAAGAATAAGGAAAAGGAAGACACGGATAAAACATTGCTCGACGAACAAGAACAGCTCCAAGTTGTCGAAAAATACTCCATCATAACCATTCTTAAGAACAAATCCGTACTCGTCATCTCCCTCCTGATGTGTTTCACATGGTAATGTCAAATAACTTACTCTTATAAAAAGATTTCTATTGGAATTGAGAAATTGAGTGGAAAATTGTTATCAGAGATTGTTTAATAGAGATATCTCTTTTTCAGGGTGACTAACACCCTAACCTACTTTGGACTGACCCTGACAGCTACCTCATTGGCGGGAAATCGTTTCCTTAACTTTTTCTTCATGTCCTGTGTAGAATACATTTCCCTTATTCTGGAGTACTGCATGCTACGCCGGTAAGACTAAAAGCATCATAGCATTATCTATTTGAAAGTGAAATTTCAACGAGATCGAGGTTCTACTTATATGAAGAGAATGAAAACTGTATGAAGATAAGAAAAATGTCTCAGTCCTTTCACAAGATTCCTCTTCTCGATGGAATGAATATTTAGACTTTAAAACACGAAAAAAAAAACAGTCGACCTTCCGTCATTTTCTTATAAAAAGTGAATATTTCAATCCAAGACATAATAAAAGGTACATTAGTCAAATATTGGTGACATGTTTTTTATGTGTTTTCTGTAATCCTTCATATTATAAGCATTTGGGATAGTCGCTTATGCAATTTAGCAAAATGTTCACAATTTCTTTACCTATTTTTATAAATTCTTTGCATTTTGTTAAACATACGTGTGTCGCTTAATAGTGAACCAAAAGCAGTACTTACACGTTGTCCAAACTTACAGATTTGGTAGAAGAACTACAACAATTTTCTTCCACTCTTTGACGGGAACAGCCTTGGCTCTTGCCACCGTGTTGAATTACTTTTCAGGTATTGCTTTAATTCTGTTTTAATTCTTTATGCTTACATCAGTCATCAACGTTATTTATCTATAACCTTTGATTTCTTTGATTTTAGATGGAAATAGTACACTTATACTTCTATCAGTTTTGGCGACCTTTGCAGGGAAGATGTCCGTGACTGGATCATTTAGTGTGCTATTTCTCTTCACTCCTGAACTATTTCCCACAAATCTAAGGTGGGCTTAAACTAAAATCTCATTATATTGCCAGTATATGTGTATGAGAAAATTATTTTTGAGTTATAAAGCACTAGTTTTTTTTCTTTATTTCTAAGGAATGTCGGGATCGGGATGTGTTCCACGTTCTCCAGGATTGGTGCCATGATTTCGCCTTTTGTCGGAACTTTGGTAACCTTACCTCATTGTTACATCACTATCAAAATTATCTTGTTGTCTTAACAAATCTGTCATGCATGTTTTATATATAAATAACTTATACTTGTTTCATCATTTTCAGGCGAGAGCTGTACCTTGGGCTCCGGGAACAATTTTTGCATTGATGTGTTTCATTGTCACAATTATAGCTTTATATTTACCGGAAACACGTGGAATGGATTTACCTCAGACATTAGATGAAGTGAAAAGGTGGTACGCAGAAAATAGTGGACTTCGCCTGCGCAAAAGTCGGAAGAAAGACAACAGTGTATATGATGAGTTTTCTGTTTCCCCAGTAGTGGCATCAAAAACCAAGAGAAATTTGAGAAATGAAAAGATTACAACGTGACAGATAAGCCTCTTGTCATGCAATATATCATTATTTAGCTGGCCATTTGTAAATGTATTGATTCGTGATAATTTGTTCAGAAAACACCAGTACTAATTGTGTTAATTTACTTAATGTAAAATATAGTTATAAAGTACATTTTTTCTTGGGATGTCAACTGCTACAATTTTTATAATATTTTTTTGCAAATAAAAGTACTGTTTACACAAAAGAAAAACCCGGTTTTCATTCATTTTGAGAGTAAATTAAACACAAATAAACTGGCTATGCCTTATTTTACAAAAAAGGAGTACTTATTTCCTCTGTTCTTGACAGACCAAGTTTATAAAGTTGGCTGCAAATGTATAATCTGTAAATAAGTGTTTGTCTGATTTTTATATTTGTTCCTATTTGTGCCCATTATTCTTGCCATTTCCTAATATTATCATTTTATTGCAAAAATACCAAACTTTCTAGACAAAATATTTAGTAACCTTTGGTCATCAAAGATTTTTAATTTCGAAACAAACAGTTAGTTTATTAACAAGTATCACCGTCGTTTAAATGCTGTTGTTCTTCCAAATTTGTATCATCAGAACTTCCCAAGAGTGACTCCGATTTACTAGATTTTTCAATTAATTCATCCTTTTTCGTTTTTTCCTCCACTTCAATACAATTTGTTTCCTCCTGTCTTGCGTGTTGGAATGCAGACCCTTTCATCCTTAATATCATAAACATTTCAAATACGGCTGCCATCATATATAGAATCCCTGTAATAATGAATTTGATTTTGATTTTAGACTTTATATTAAAAAGAAGATTGCTATGTCAGCTAAAAGATTTTGAACTGTTACACCTACCTGAAATAATAAAAAGAATTGAATAGCCCCCTCTCCCTTCCTTAATGCGATCTGCAATAGAATAACCATTAATTTATGGTTTACAGCTTGTTCGTTGCTTGAAATTCTCTTTTGATATTCAAATATAAGAAATTAACGAAGCCTTATGTATCAACTCTCATCTGAAACTAAATTTTTCTTACCTCCGATGACTGGACCAATCAGAAATCCAATGCCACACGTGAGCATTTCCATTCCAAAAGCCGTGGACAGCTGTTTAATTCCTATCATTTCAATGGTTATCGGTGACAAAAGGGACCACACTCCACTAGAATATAAACCAAGTATGACAGAATAGAATACCTTTCCGGAAAAGAAAGTTCCGAGCACTGGTAGAAAGATTGTAGATAGTCCTAGAATAAAGAAACATCCCATATATAGGATTTTGCCATCTACATTAAAGTCTGTTGCTGCTAATCCAGTAAGAATTCGAGATAAACAACCTGTGATACCATATATAGACATAAAAGTGGCAGCTTGCGTTTGAGTAGATCCTGTGCTGACGTAGTATTCTGGTAAATATAAAACAGATGTATTGATACTTATGCTCCAGCATAAAATACTCACACAATAGAAACAGAACGCGCTGTTGGAAATTATTCTTTGAAATTCCAGTAAAACCCATTTTAACTGTTTAGTTACAGTCTCGGATCTTTCTCCTTTTCTTTTCTTTTCTAATTCCGTAGTTTTGACACACATAGTAAAAACACAAGATTGTAGACTGACTGCCGACAGGAGAAGGAAACTTCCACTGATGCCATATGTCTGAATCAGGAATTCTGTGAAAAGAGGATAAACCGTCACCCCAATACCTGCTCCTGTCGCAATTATTCCTGTGGCCAAACTGGGATTGTCAATAAAATAGTACCCTGTGACTACGACAGTGCCCGAATATGTCATAGACTGCCCAATTCCTGGAAAGCAAAATTTTCCATGTAGCAGTTAAAACGGTGCCAGAATTAAAACACTAGTATACTTTAAAAGAATACATTTCGTAATATATAGAGTACCTTATATAGAGTACCTTTTAGCGAGTGTATCTTCAGATATCAGACGAGGGGGCTTGTCCCCCGAGTCTGATATCTGAAGATGCACGAGTTTAAAGGTACTCTATATATTTGTTTCATTGTTCCCAGGAACTTATTTTATCCACGATCTACCACTTTTACGTTAATAGCAGGTACTTCAACCTGTATTCTCACGCACTGAGTTAGCCATGATCTAACAAAATTTCATCATACATTTTTTTTATGACCAATGAAAAAAGAGCACGTGATAGGAAAAGTTTAGCGCGCTGTTTTTCTTGAACTTCAGAGCTACTCGTACATGTGCCTGGCTCATTCAAGTCTGAACGCCATGGATGATAGTTGTGATTTTATGCTGTGTCAATTCTCGATGAAATTCGATATTATGATGGAAATTCCTTATTTTATTTAGTCTTAACACTCCTAAAAATGTCTGGGTAATTCAATGAATACCGCATGGGAAAATGTCCACTTTTTACCGATCGAGATGTACAGTGCATGATTCTTTAAATTACTGGATGAAGCATCTTGATAGAGCATGGTTGTTAGATCACAGTTAGCCATGCTGTATCAAAAATAAAAACACAGTGGTCTTCAAAGGAAAAACACCGCAACAATGATAGAATTTTTTAAAAGTATCTTTGCGTATAGAATATTTTGATAAATACCTTGCGGTACTGATGGTTCCCAGTTATTGACATATAAATTATATACAATCATAAATTAGCACCTGCGATGATTCCATAACAAATAATTACAATCTTGATGTCAGACACGAAGCTTGAAATGAAGAAACCAGCGAAGCTAAGAAAAGATCCAAGGAAGATTGCAGATCGACAAGACAATCCATTTATTACAGCACTGGATAGGGGACCTGAAATGGAAACTAAGATATTTCTGTCCTATATAGCAAAAAATGTTAATTTAAACATGTAAATTTTATTTCATTTCTGCTCCATTTATTACAGGTATTGGCTATAGATATCATAGAGTCAAAATTAGTAAATTACTCAATTTTGACGTTGCTCCGAGACCCAATTTTTGCTACTCTAAATCTTTGATAATTTTTACAGTTATGAAAATATATTCCAATTTTTTTTTACTCAAATTATTCAAATTTGTTGTTAAATTATGTGTACCAAATATGAATATGGTATGGCGTTAAAAAAAGTTAGGACAAAAGTCTACGACCTTATTGATGACCCTCGTACATATGTTATCAGAATATTTTTTCATAATTGCATACATTGTTTCTTACCCGCCAAGCTGAAGAAACTAGTAAGCAGAGCCCCTGCCCAGGATACTTCTCTAGGAAACTCTCGGTATTTTTCAAGTAACCCGAGGTGAATTATGCCTGCGGAATATCCCACGCTTGTTCCCAAAAAACTATTCATAAATCCTGCAAACAGTACCAAAGGCTTTCGCATTCTGTATAGATTGGCTTCTGAACTATTTGTGTCAAGACATGGACAGCGTTTGTCGTGGTATTACCTCATACCTACTGAAAAATCAGAATATTGCAAACAAGCATCATAAAATTTTCTCAGCTACTTTAAATTGTGTTACTAATGAGGAAAAATTGTGCACAGAACAGTCAAGAAAAATCCAGTTTACTCGAAATGATTTTTCTTTTCCAGATTTTAAGATATTATATGTACTTCCATTATCATTTGAGAAAGTAGTCAATATAATACTTAGTATAATGACTAAATTGAATAACTACTGACGATTTGAGAAATAAAACGGAATCTATTGCTCGTGAACATAATCCTCCTATACATAACGAACAATAACCATGCCGGACAAGTCATTACATATGATGTAAATATAATTAATAATATAAGGACCTACAGGTAACAGCACTTATTTCAAAATGTCCAAAAACCCCAATCTTTTCGAATTTTATAACTTTTTTAAAAGAATTCTTTGGAAAATGGGACAAACATGAAAAAGAACACTTTGATACTTCCTCAAAATGGATGAACAGTATCAAAGGCATCAAACAATTAAGGGGCAACATGAAAACATCTTTCATTTTGACTTTTTTCAAAAAAAAAACTTGTCACTGGTCAAATGCATAATCTACGGAGGCCCATTTAGGACCTATCAAAAAATATTTTTGAATTCGTTATAACGATTTTTAGAATTTGTTATAACGAATTTAATTTGTTATAACAGATTTATTGAATTCGTTATAACGAATTTAATTTGTTATAACAGATTCATTGAATTCGTTATAACGAATTTAATTTGTTAAAACAGATTCATTAAATTTGTTATAACGAATTTAATTTGTTATAACAGTTTCACTAATTTGTTATAACGAATTTAATTTGTTATTACAGATTTATTGAATTATATTCGTTATAACGAATTAAATCTGTTATACAGATTTGTTGAATTCGTTATAACCAATTCAAAAATTCGTTAAAACAAATTCTTGAATTGGCTATGAAGAATTCAACAAATCTGTAATAACAGATTTAATTCGTTATAGCGAATTCAAGAAATCTGTAATAACAGATTAAATTTGTTATAACGAATTCAATAAATCTGTAATAGCAAATTAAATTCGTTATAACAAATTAGTGAATCTGTTATAACAAATTAAATTCGTTACAACGAATTCAATAAATTCAATAAATCTGTTATAACAAATTAAATTCGTTATAACTGATTCTAAAAATCGTTATAACGAATTCAAAAATATTTTTTGATAGGTCCTAAATGGGCTTCCGTAATAATCCTCTTGTTTTTAACATTTTGATTGTACAACAAGTACTCTGATGTTGATAATAAAATGATGCTTGAGTTTCTAGTCGACAATTTTTTTTATAGGTTTGAGACCAGGTATTAAAAAATCTGTAGGAAATCCTATAGTTATCAAGTGCGCCACGTTATTATCAGACTTATTTTTGTGTTCATATAAAGCATTTTTATTAAAGGCAAAAACACTTGCTTTCACCTTTTTAACTCGACATTTAGATATATCAGATGCGTATCATAAATTAACAATACTATATATCGACTCAATATTTTCAAGTAAGCTTGAAATAAGACATCTTAAAGTCTGATATGTTCCATTTTTGGATATTTATTGGTGACAGACGTTAATGTTCACCTAACACATAATTTTATGACTTCAACTTTTCCATCGTCAATATCCTTCCCTTGCTTATGTAGCATTATTCCATTATTACCTACATATGGGGTTTATGTTTTCAGCTGATTCGATAAGCAATAATCTGGCTTCCATACAAATAATTTACAAACGAGTCAAATTATGGACAAACAAGTTGATGAAACAAGAATATCAAAATCCCCAATTCGCAAGTTTTTTTTTTGGTCGACACAATGATCTTTTCAGCAAATACAATATTTTTAATAAAGTCAAGTACTGAATGAAAATGACTGTTTTACTAAAGCTAGCACAGTATATGTAAACTCAATCCCATTCTTATTTCGTTTTGTCAAGATCCATAGATTGTATTATAAGCTGACAAAATTGAATGGTCCAAAGAAACAACTAAAATTCTTTTTTTTCTGTCATCTAGATGTGGCAATCAGTTATAAAGTAAATAATATGAAATGTAAGTTCATCAAGTTTTGTAAGGTTATTACTCTACTGTAGTATAATTTTCAAAAGACAGTATGACTCATAAAAATACATAATGTAAAATGTTAAGATAACGAACTGTGAAAAAATCTAAGTAACGGTACAAATATGTTTTAGAGGGAATAAAACATGGATCCCTAAATACTTTAAAGGCGGGGTCTGAGAGAATTAAGCATTCCCTGTTGAATGGTCACACCCACTGTAGGCCCTAGGGACTGATCAAGGGTATATTTCATAGTCAAATCTAGTATAAAACAAAGGCCGAACATTTAGTAAGAAACACGTACAAGTTAAGTATAACGACCATAAGATTTATGAATTACTGAGTTTAAGGTTTCGACAAAGGTCAACATGTCCAAAAATTTATTTTTACAATAGCCCCAAAACTATGCGAGGTATAAAGTTAAAAAACTTTTACAGTTTATAAATTTTTCATTGATTAATAGATAGAAAGTATCACTTGATAAAAAAAAAATACTTGGAAAAAGTATTAATTGAGAAAAATTCTTCTTAAAAATGCATATATTTTCAAAAAATACACCTAAATAATCCCACGCTCTTAGTGAAAACCATTATTGCAAAAACAAAATATGTTTATCAATGAAGGGCAAGTTGGACTTAGATAGCCTCTGGAAAGTTGTTTCCCCTGTTTATTTTGTCCAAATGTTAAGACTTGAAAGTGAAAGTACATTGCAAATGGCGGATTCTATAGGGGTCTTGTCTTTATACATGTCATGCTTTCAATTACAGCCGTTCAGAGACTATTCACGTCCAACTTGCCCTTCAATGATAAACATATATTATTTCTGCAATGATGGTTTTCACAAAAAAGACAGAATTAAGCAGGTGCATTTTCTTTAAATATGCAAATTTTCTGATACAAAAATATTTGTTATCAAGTGATACTTTCTATCTATTAATCAATGATATACATTGTATTTATAAACTGTAAAGGTTTTGACTTTATACCACACATAGTTTTGGAGCTATTGTAAAAATAATTTTTTAGACATGTTGACCTTTGACGAAACCTTAAATGAGGTTGCTACAATTTTTTCTTGAATAATGTAAGATATATTCTAACTTACTTTTGAAATTTCGTATTTTGCATAGTAAGGCAAATTCCTGTTTAAAACACGACTAATCCTTCTTAAATCTAAGGGTACCTTTAAAGTTTCTCAAGAATACATTGTTATTGTCCAGGTTGCTAAATACAGTCGTATATATAAACCAAGCCAAGATATTTAAATAAATAGCAAAAATAACAAAGAGTATGAATGATCCTCTCTTCTTAACATTCAGATTATTTTCAACAAATGTACATATATGGTCCTTATATCCAAATATGAACAGTTACTGCTTTTTATTTAAGGTATTCAATGTATAACGGAGGGATCTTGAACAATTTTGAATTGATTTCAAACTAATTAAATATATATTGCTAGAAAACGATAAAAGTGAAATGATCCAAATTCACAAGACTGATAGCAAGTAGGAAGCTGATCATTTTGCACCTAAAAAGTTTTTGAAGGGTTATCTGTCCTTGATGATGAATTCAAAAAAAAAAATAAGTTTGACAAAATATATCCGTGGGATATTATTCATTTTATTTTATATTTTAGTAAAAAGAGAGTTTTCAAGTCCATGAAACTTCGCCCATCTATACACTTAAATAGAGGTTCCATGTTTTTAAATGGAATTCAAAGGAAAGTACGAGTATAAATAGTAGTATCTGAAGAATTTTTTGAAAAAGACACAAGTTTCATTAAAACATTTTGACTCAATAGTATACTACGAGGGTTGTTCGATATGTATGTGTATTGTACGATATCTCAAAAGCATTCGATTCAAATAGTGAAATGGACATTACATCCCTTCAAAGTATTCTCCGTGATTTGAAATACACAATTTTAATCTCTGAATCCATTTCTGAAATGCGTCACGGTATACCTCTGAGGCACTGACCGACGGCTGAGCCAAGGGCCTGTCGGGACTGGTATCGACGACCAGATAAGAACTTTTTAAATTTTGGAAAAAGGAAAAAGTCGCATGGTGCTAGATCCGGAGAGTATGGTGGGTGTGTCAAGACGGTAACCTTCTCAGACTTCAAAAATTGCTTCACAAGCTCAGATGTATGTGATGGAGCATTATCATGAAGAAGGCGAACATGCCTAAATCCCGACATAAGACGTCGTTTCTGATAATATTTCTTGAGCTTTTTCAGTACAACATCTCAGTAATACCGACCTGTAACACTTTTGCCCTTCGGCACCGGAATTTGTACGGCTAAACCATCACAAGAGAAGAATATGCAATAAAGGACCTTCTTTGTGCTCATTGTCCTTTTGGCAACTACAGGCCTTCTACCGTGTTTGGTTAGCCATAATTTGTTTCCAACTTTTCTTACTGGTTCGAAATAGTGAACCCATGTTTCGTCACCAGTAACTATGTTTGCAAATTGTCATTGATTGAAGTTTGGAAACATTTTTAGCAGTCGCTTAGCGGTTTGTATTCGTACCTTTATTTGGTCATCTGTCAATACATGGGGTATCCATCTGGCAGAAATCTTTCGTACTTTCAAAATACGCTTCAAAATGAAATGCACCCGAGAAAGCGATATGCCAACAGCTTTGGCAATATCACGAATCGTGTACCTGCCATCACTTTCAATTATTTCCTTGACTTTTGAGACATTTGTCTTGCCTGATACAGTCACAGGTCGACCCGATTTTGCTGCATCTTTGACGGACTCTGTGCCAGTCAGAAATTTCTGTCTCCACCTACGAACTGTCTCATAAAATACCTTATCAGACCCATAAACTTCCCCCAATTCAGTAAAAATCT